GGCCAAGAATGTCTGGAAGTTAAACGGTGAAACCCAAATGAAACATGTAAGCTATGGAAGGGGCAGGTGAAAAGCTTGCTGTAAAATACGGCTAGATGCAATGCACAAACCAGAAGCAGAGAGGAAAAGAAGCTGTGAGAATGTTTGGCATGTCATTTGCAGGCTGTTTGCATACTTCGACATACGTCAGATTGCTGTTTTACATTTTTCCTTGTACATTTTTGAGGTCCAAAAAAAGAATGTAAGCTTACATTTTTGAGGTCCGAAAACATAGGAAAATGTAAGTTACATTTTTGGACGTCCCCCCCTCTTAATTTGCGGCGATGGCAGACCTAGTAGTTTGGAGCTTGCGCGCACTGTTCTTACAGGACAAACTTGTTGCGGATTGATTTGCAAAAAGGACTTTGAAGTGACATGATGAACAATACTTTTAATTGTTCATGCCTGAGAAAGGGGAAGACTGCTACAGACATTTTAGTTCACAATACAAGCGCAACACGTCCACCAAACATGCTTGGTGCCAATGTGATTGTGCCTTGGCTCAAACGTTGCAGTGCAAGTAGTGAGGAATTCTACAAGCGACTTCTCAGAAGCAAACGCGTGAATCTGTGCACTGAGGTTGTTTGCGACGTGCTGAATGCCTTGGGTGCTGGTTTTTCACTCAAGTTTATCGACCTCTTTTTGAAGGCGGATGTCACAGTGAAACCCCACTCTGTGTTGTTCTTGCCGACTCCGGCGCTTGCTGCATGAGTCGCAGATTCAATCCGGCGCTTGCACATGCTTGCGACATGTTTCAATTGCTGTCGTGCACTGTACAGGTAGACTATGGAGTCTCTCCAGCAGGAGAGAAGTTCGATTGGCATGCCTGGAGCCTTTGCGAGAGTGTGCCTTTGTTCTTGTGTGAATCATCCTGCTAGAGGAGTGTTCCTGGTTGGATTTTTGCAAAACATTATGGGCGCTTGGCTCACACCAGTGGCAAAGAAGCTTTTAGCCACTCGCTCTGACTTATATTACGCGTTGTGTTATATAATAAAGGCCCTGGAAAGGCCATACAGTCAGAGCGGATTTGCTCGCTCGTTCTCGCTTACTCCCACGGAAATTGATTATATAAATATGATGAAATTGAATGAATTGAGATATATGAAATAAAGAGAGATGAACAAAGACAGATATGAGCTCCTTTGAAGAGGCAAAGAGCATCACTCCCGAGCGACTGTCGTAGGGCTTCCCTGAGTGGCCGACCAAATGCAAAAAGCGACCACGCTGAGGGTGGAGTGTGAGTCCTTTATTAAACCTCAATGTTGAACCCCAAAAAACATGCAGACGGCCGAAGACCTGTTGCTTGACGATCGTTGTTTGTTTGACATTGCAGTTCAAGGTCAAGGTGTGCAACGGGACACTGACAAATCCAATGTGGAACGCCCTGGGAATGCAATTTTGGTGTCAAAAGATTACAGTTTTTCATGGTCAAATTCAGGCACGCCTCAAGCAAGAGGGGTACAGAGCTAAATTGGGAGTTGCGCCTTGGCTGCGTATGTGGTATTCAAACTCAGTAGTGACTCAGGAGTGGTCGGAGCTTCTTTGTGCCAAGGCCTTTCTTTGGAGCTTGGCCTTGCTATTCCTTGGACTGATTTGTGTACCAGGAATGCCTCTTTGGATTGTAATTCCCTCCATCGTCCTCATGCAGTCCTTGAACTCTTGCACTCGTGCGTTCAATCGGGCGCAGCTGATCAACTTCCTTCCGCGCGACAAGATTGCCACATATATGAAGCTTGTCTTTATTAGCGTGAAGAAGAGCAGAATGTCACACACACACACACACGCACTTCAGAAAAGAGCTCCCAAGGGCAGAAATTCAGAGTTTCGCGGTGCGCGTTAACCCTTTACGATACTGCAGTATATTGCAGTAGACGACCTGGCAAATCACTGTTGAAATGGCCCTGTGAGGAACAGCAAGGCGACGAGTCCGCAACAATATAGTTTAAATCCGGGCGCCGGCCACGGGCCCGTGTCCTTGCCGGAGGCCTTCGGTTGGTAACCTTCGTATTTAAGGGCTTACGCCCGACAGCCGGCCAGGGGCCCAAGCAAAGGGCTGGTTGCAGTCGTGGCAGTGTGCATGTCGTTGTTGTGGCGGTAGTGGTTGTGGTTGTGGTTGTGGTTGTGGTTGTGGTTGTTGTTGTTGTTGTTGTTGTTGTTGTTGTTGTTGTTGTTGTTGTTGTTGTTGTGGCAGTGGTTGTGGTTGTGGTTGTGGTTGTGGCTGTTGTTGTTGTTGTTGTTGTTGTTGTTGTTGTTGCGGTTGTTGTTGTTGTGGTGGTTGTCGGTGTTGTGGTTGTTGTCGTGGTTGCGGGGGTCGGTGTTGTCGTGGTGGTTGGTGGTGACGTTGTTGTGGTTGTTGTTGTGGGTGGTGTGCTGCTGGTGGAGGTTGTGGTGGTTGTCGTGGTGTCTGTGGTGGTTGCGCGATGGTGTTGTTGTAGTTGTTCTTGGTGTGGTGGTTGTGGTTGGGGTGGTTGTTGTTGTGGTTTTGGGTGTGGTTGTGGTTGGTGATGTTGTTGTGGTGGTTGTTGTTGTTGTGGTTGTAGTGGTGGTGCTGGAGCTTCGGAGTGAGCAGCAGGGTTCTTTTCATAGTCAGACGTGAAGCTCCTACCAGCCAAGACCTGGGCAAGGGACCGGATGAAACAGTGGAGTCCGAGCGACGTATAGTGTTCCGCCAGACGCTCTATCCAAACTCATACTTTCAGGCCGGACCCGCAAGCGGTCAGTCAATAGTCAACACCCATGGAGTAGCGCAGGACTGAGCTCGAAAACATAAGTTCTGTCCAAGGAAAGGTGAGCTTGCTCGTCGCAGAGGGGTCATGAGTGAGGAGGTCATAGTTTAGACACGGTTCGTAGTTTGTACGGTGAACTTGCTCGCCTTGAAGGAGTCAACACCCATGTACCAGCACAGGACGGAGTTGGAAAAAAGTCCTTTTCAACGAAAGGTGAGCTGGCTCGCCTGAGAACGGTCACGAGGGATGAGGTCATTGTTTAGATGCGTGTCGTATGTTCGACGGTGAGCTAGCACACGTGTAAGATGCTAGACATGCCGGATGTCTAGCCCCCCTCAACTAGAACCGATAGTGCAGGCATGCCATCCAGACCCATAAGTGCCAGACATTCATATCAGCTAACCCCCGACTATGTGCCAGGCTCGGGTCCGCGAGAGCTTAGCCCACGCGTCCGGAGCTTCGCTCATGGGTGTACCCCAGCCACAAGCCTACGCATGCATAGAGCCCCTCGACTCGAGCGGACAACGCAACCCCGTCCGCAGCGGCGCCGCGTGCTTCACTGCGACTTCGCCAGCAACCGTCTTTGCGCCTGGCCCTGCGTGCATCGGCCTCCGTGGCCAGCGCGACTCCCAAGAACGCCAAAGCTGCGCCAAAAACGAAAAAAGGCTACGTGCAGTCGGCAAAAGACACGGTTGTCAAGCTGGTGGATTGTTTTTTCACATAGGTGAAATGACAGGGACTAGGGTACAGGAAGTTCCACACCGCTTCACAAACAACTGTTCGCAGTGTCACGGCGTAAACGACATTATGTCCCAGAGATGTCTCTAGTGTTTCCCCTGACCGCACAAAAAGAGACACTGTGTTTATGCTTGTGGCACGGATGTTTCCCAGACCTTGCAAAGCACCGAAAGCAAACCAGATCCCAGATGGTCGCACGTTGTTGTTTTCCACCCACGCTGGCCAGGTACCAGCGTGTGGGTGGAGCAGGCCCGCTGAACCAGAGAGGAATTGTTCGCCTGGACCTGGCAGGGATGTGGTAATGTGACCTGTCGAAAAGCCGTAGACCAGTGGAAACCACTTTATTTTGTATTTTGTACGGTGAGCTTGCTCGCCTTGAACTCGTCAACGCCCATGCGCCATCACATGCCTGCGTTCGAAAACAAAAAAACGTTCCGAAGAAGGGGAGCTTGCTCGCCCGGGAGCTTGCTCGCCTCAGCGTGGTCCTGAGTGAAGAGGCCCTTATTTACCGGCGTCTCGGATTTTCTACCGTGACCGCGCTCGCGTTCGATCTTCGACACTGAGACGGTGAGCTTGCTCACTACGCTACACCGACGCTTCTCGCAAGTTGCCGTTACGGGCCCGCCGAACTCCAATTCGGCACTCCCAGCAGCACCCTTGCCACACACAGACAAAACCCAACCAAGCCTCTGGCGCCCGGTGCTGCGTATGCGCCGGGTGGTCGGAAACGAGTCGGGGACACTGCGTGACACAAGTCCCACGTAGTGGTTCTGGTGGAAATTGTGGTTGTGGCACTGGTGGGTAGCCTGGTGGAGTCGTTGTGTTGTGGTTGTGTTGTTGTTGTGGTTGTTCTTGTAGTGGTGGTGGTTGTCTGTTGTTGTTGTTGTTGTTCCCCACATTGTTGTGTGGGGTTCTTGTTTTTTTTGCTGCACCTCCTCGCTCGTCCTCCTCCTTCCTCCCTCCTCCTTCCTCCTTCCTCTCTCACAACAACATCAATCTCTCACAACAACATCTCTCACAACAACATCACTCAGACAACATCCCGCACACAACGTCTCGCATACAACATCACTCACACAACATCTCTCACAACAACCTCTCACACACAACAGCACACACGCAACATCCCACACACAACGTCTCGCATACAACATCACTCGCACAACATCTCTCACAACAACATCTCACACACAACATCACTCACACA